GCTGGGTAACTTCCCGTAAAGTAAGGTGTTTCGTTACACTTTTAAATCATTCAGGAAAGACAACTGAAAACGTGATCCACGGACAAACACAAGCAAACAGCTCCTCGCGCACAATGTCAATATTGCGACACGTGAAACGCATTTTTTTCTATATATAGACTGGTTTGTCATCACGTGAATAGATCTGACTTCGATTGCCTTCAGAGGTATTACGGACCAAGTCAAACCCCTTGGTGGCTTGCGATGCCTTCCACTAGTTCCAACACGCGCAGACACCAGTTCGCGTAAAGCGCAGTAACAGAAAGACAAGCAGAAGGCCGTGAATCTTCCCGCAACCCGTTGCAACACCTTTTTCTTGATTACGTCTTCACAGGAAAAGTCGCATTAACAGAAGATAACGTTGGGCATAGTAGAGCACCGATACACTCGCTTTATCTCCCTAGATTGTATTTTGCGGACCTGTCGGGCACGGTGTGGAGTTTGCTAGGATGTTACACTGACCAGCAACCTACGAAGCCTTGCGTGCGTTTTATGCAGCAGCAGCATTTTGCGGCGTTTATCGCCACCGAGGTGGCCATGGCCTGTAATACCTCTGAAGCCGATCGAACTCAGAGCTATTCATGTGATTGTAAACCGGTCTGCATCCACAAAAATATCCGTTTCACAACGTCTCACTTTTGCGCGAGGAACTGTTTGCCTGTGTGACCGTGGATCATTCGCGTCTTCAGTTGTCTTTTCTACATGTTTGAAACTGTGACGAAAATACCTCGCGGTACGATGTTGGTTGGTGGTCCGTTGCTCCTCAACAAAGGCCCACCTTGATAGCCGATCATACTAGGTTTCCAAAAGCTGAGAAGGACAAAGATTGGACAGAGGCCGTCGAGGGTCAGTTGACTACAATTCTCAAAAACTTCCATAAAGAAGTTTTTTGACTGACAAAGAGCTGGAGATACTGAGACATGTAGAAACGACGATACGTAGAATGTACGGCCTTCCGAAAATTCACGAACAGGGGCTACCCTTCCGTCTTATCCTGGATATGAGAAATTCCTCTTATCACACCATTGCTAAATGGTTTGTAGAAACGCTAAAGCCTCTTGGAAGTCACCTATATCCTCGAAGCCTAAAAGACATTTGAGTTTGTCGAAGCTATAAAGAATATGAACGTTACTGGAAGTAAGATGCTCACATAGGATGTATCATAACTGTTTACCAACGTACCGGTGGTAGAAACCATAAACTATCTCTGTGACGTTATTCGAGACACGAACTACCAGATAGGTATGCCCGCGAAAACCCTCAATCAACCACTTACACGGTGCACACAAAATGTACAATTTCTCTGCAATGGAAGCTTCTACAGAGAGATAGATGGTGTGGCGATGGGCTCACCACTTGGCCCTTTCCTGCCAATTGTCTTTATGGTCAAGATCGAGAGAATGAGTCTAAGAGACACCAGCAATGACCTTGCATTTTACGGTCGATATGTGGATCATATCTTCTGTGTGACAGACTACAACACTGACACTGAAGCCATGAGCAGGAAGTTTAACAGCGTACATCCATCGTTCACATTTTCTGCAAAGACTGAGGCTGATAATGAAATTGCATCCTTGATGTCCTTCTGCGAAGG